ATATATATATATATATATAGTTACAAGTGTTTTGAATTATATTTGTCTTGCTGATAATAAAATTTTCCGGACAGAACCTCCTTTTTGAGTTAAATATCATGGTGTCATTATTATGGCTATGATTAGCCTTAAAATATTAAGCCACAGTGAGCTCAAGTTGCATCCTCTCACGGGTAGGTTTAAACCTCCGGTGGTCACTCAGTTTTCCCCATTTTCTATTGACCCGTGCAAAATCAAGCTTTTCAAATCATAGCAAATTCATTGAAAATAATTTCCATGCTGTGAGATAAAGTACAGAAGCTAAGAACCCATTTTTTTTTTATGAAGTTAAATAAAATTAATTTCAATAGAATGTCATTAAAAATTTCCATAAGTCAACTGAAGATGTGAATAATAAGCTGTCACCAATCTTATTAATAAGCAGAAAATTTGAATAATAATCCCACCAAATAGTCACGTGACTCCTTGTTTATGTTTTCACATGATTTTAAGATTGTTTTTTTAAAAGGCAAAATTTCATTCAACAAGTAAATATTCTTTTAATCACAAAAAATATCAAAAGAGCTTACAATATTATCAGTACAGATTAGAGCATTTACAACACAAAGTAAAGTATAATGAGTAATACAGAAAAAGAACCCCACCTCAAACATTGCAAATAGATAAAATCACTAGAGATTTAAATTCCTTTATCCATGACAGACTTTTGATATAATAATTTGGTTGCGTAATTTACTCATAGAAAGAGAAAGTTGAATTTTTGCAGAGACCTCGAACCCATGACCAAGATTTTTGTAAGACATCTTGTTACACTGACTCCACATGTAATGATCTTCATTTGAATACAATCGCCTTCCTTGCTAACCAAATAAATCATAAAATTGTCAGTCAAATTACACACAAAACCTTACTATCATTTACACATAATTTTAAAATAATGGTTATATCTTCACTCAATAGTAGTTTTTCTACGTTGATCTATAGATCATTGACTTGCATGTACTCTTTATGTGAGCCAAAGTCACACCCATACGAAAGATATTGAAAAACTTAAGTTTCTCATTAATTAAAAATAATGTGAAAATAAAATATGTAAATAAAGTAATTCACATCAAATAAATTGATTTTGTAACATTAAATTGATTTGGTTTCATATATTAAGATGATATCAACGTTTATTTTAGATTTATTAAAAAGTAATTATTTATCATTTATCTAAGTACTATGTCTAATAATATTGAGTGGGATCAAATTTATTAAAATAAAATTAAGTCTCACATAATTAAATAGTAAAATCAAAATAAAATATATAAATTAAGATAATTTTAATTTATAAGTCAATTTTATAAAATTAAATTAAATTTAAACTTACGTTTTGAATACGTCGAAAAAATGGGAAATCATGAAACTAAGTACAAATACATTTATACAAAGGAGAAAAGTGATTTTTAAGAGCATTTCAAACTATGATACTCATCAAAGTTGTTTATTTCTTTATTTAATAGTTATATATAATGAGATCTATCATATATATATATATATATATATATATATATGATGAATTTGGATTTTCTGTGTATTCAAATTTCATGAAGTACGTATAGCCATGATCCCATATCTCTCAATTCTTTTCATATATATTTCATATTTGGTGCAGTCGACAAATCAAGCAATCACACAATTAGAGCCATTGAATGATGATTGGAAGTCTTAGAATAGTTGACATAAGATCTCTAATAGATTTCGAATTAAATCGACCATATAAAATAATTGGTTTTTTTCACTTGAATTATATTGGAGTGAAAATTAAGTAACATGAATTCAATTAAAATAATAAAAGTTACTCATTTAAATAGCAGTAAAAATATTTATATGTATATTATTGTAGTATGTCGACGTGACATTTTTATCTACTAATTATATCTTACAAAATTTATTGAATAGATCTTATAACTTTTTTTTTCTCTTTTTATATCTCATAAAAAGTTATCTTATGTAAACATAAAGTAATTAACATTTTATTTTATTTTAAGATAGTAATGTATATATATATCATATTTTTTTATAATAAATTACCAACAAATTTTTGTTCGAATAAAACTGGAAAAATCTCATCAAATAAAATTTCGAATTTGAATCTTATAAAAAAGATGATGGATTTTTAATATTATAACCTCTACAGCTTGCAATTTCATTATACAATTTCACTCCTATGCTACCTCTTCATCAAGATCTTCTTAAAGCAGAAAATTGGCCAGTGATTACATTCTCTCTTTTAACTACCTTAGCACTAACAAAATGCTTAAGATGTTATAGAAAAGGTGCAGAAGATCAGTAATTTAGTTAGAGAGAATCCTAGTTGGATGTGAGGTTCATATATCACTTATCTTGATTGCACTTTCCTTTTGTTATCATTTGAAGGGATTGTACTTGATGTGTAATGAACCCACTTTTTGCCACAAAATAATTGATTTGTCAACTCTATGCACTCTAATAATATATCTGTAAAAGATATTCTTGTTTTAATTAAAGGGAAAGGTGAAAGAAGAAGTCATCATTAAAGTTACTACCAGTGATTGGAATAATTTTACTCATCATAGCTGAATCTTTTCCCCCCATTTGATTTATCTGAACAATTAATGGCCTACATATTTCGCCTCATGCACAAAAGAAAAAACAAAGAAGAAAAAAAAACTTCAAATTAAAATCTTAACATCATTTCTAGATAGAATTTTTTGTAGTGCACATAATTAAGCAAGCACAGCAATCATATGGAAGTATTCATACCAGAAAAGTCTTTACTAACTAAAGCATCAATGATTTCTGAATGTAATGTATTTTTGAAAACAAATATTTCTTAAAAAATATTGTTTGAAAAACTGGAGATGCGGGGGATCGAACCCCGTGCCTCTCGCATGCAAAGCGAGCGCTCTACCATTTGAGCTACATCCCCATTTCAATCATTATTAACTATTAACCTTAATAATGTTTTATTTCATTTTTATATCTCGAAGACTTGATTAAAAAAAATGAAAAAGATGAAAGACACAATTAAATTTTTTTTATAATTTAGGGTCCATCTTTTATAATATAAAAAAATCAAAATGTTCATCAACTTATGATATATTATCTCTAGTAATAGAAAACATATATTATAATTTGAGTTAATCATTTAAACACTATCAATGTAAAAATTTTTTACATTAACAACCAATCATATCTTTTAATAATATTATGTCAGTTACTTATTTAATGAAATAAAAATAAAATAAAATAATTTAAAAGATATGATCAATAATCAATGTAAAAAACTTTATACTAGCAGTGTATGGATGATTAACTCTTATAATTTCTGCATTTATAAATATGCTCTTGTTTCTCTTTATGCTAAAACTTAACAAAATTATTGGGTCACCATATAGAATAACACATGATGTATATGAAAAATTATGGAGCCATTTTTTTCTTTCTGAAATGGAGTCATTTGTTTAAACTTAATAAAGTGTTTCTAAACAAATGTTTTAAATAAAACAATTATTAATTTAAAAAGTAGGCATGAGATACTTCTTTTATAAATTAAAAAAAAAATAGTAGAAGTCTGCTTATTTATAAAAATTAAAAAAAATTAAACAAACACATAAAATAAAATAAAATAAAAAGGTATTTATTTTATTAAAAGTAGACATTTTTATAAGAAAAGAAGTTTAAACAAATAAATCTTATATATAAGAAGAAAAACAAAACACCTTCAAATATAAGAAAAAATAACACACCTTGAAGTATGAAACTATCTTTTAGTAGTATTGTTAAAATGAGATATTTAGCTTAAAACGGTCTGACAAACTGAAGTTTAAAAAGCAAATCGAACTAATTTTTATGTAGTTTACAAAAAAAAAAAATTAGCTTGATAGGTTAGGCTAAATTAATTCATTTTTTATTTTGCATAAATTTATATATTATATAAGAAAAAAAAATGAGTTAAAAGATTTGATAACTTTTTGACCAACTTTTTTACTATTCGACTTAACTTATTTGATCCATTAAGTTAGACTAAATTGGCTTCATTCTTTTTAACCTCAAAATAAACAACTCATCCTAACCTAACCCAGAAGTCATTGAGATAAGTCACTTTTTTCTCTAATTTTAAAAAAGTGTTATAATCTTTCTTAATTATTTTAGAAAATATTATTCACTTCGTATCAAAAGAAAAAAAAAATAACTCAAGTATCCCTTTTAACTTTAATAAGGTTTTCTCTTTTTCTCTTTAAGCCTTGGAAACTTCCCATGGTTGTAGCATGCAGGCCTAAGGTAAAACCAAATGCATATATTCCAACCCCACTCTCACATAATAAAGAGAATCCACACTAGTCAATGAGTGTTATCGTTATCTCACACGAAACATAAAGTAGAATTATATTTCTATCAAATACTAAAATTGATAAAATGTACTAGAAAAAAAAATTGTATGTTCACTTTCATATTAAACGAGTTTAATTTTGATGCAGTTCCATTACTAGAAAAGTTGCACTACCATAAAGTTTCACATAATTTAATGAATCTAACAATACATGCGTTAATAAATTAGAAGAAGAAAAAAATGATGAAGTCGCAACACATTGTTGAATAATGGTGTAAATTTTTGTTGATTAAAAATACATGCAAACTAAATTTACATAAATGTGTGTACTATACGTAATTGTCACACTCACAGTGCAAGTAGCATGACTACAATTCAAGTCATTTATTTTGTCCTTTCTTAATCGATGCATGGTTGAGTTTTCACCGTCACAGAGTATGAATTTTCCATTCCTTACAAATGCATGAAACCTGCAACATTTGTCTCTATCTGTGGAAAATTGGGGGCAAGAACAAAACAAAAATTGACAAAACTTTCGATTTAACACAATTCCCCTTTTTGTGTGTCTCGTACCAATGGAGTATACAAAAGAGAATAATGGTCGATTGAACCCCCTCAACTCATGGCTCTAAAGCAACCCAAGATATGCTCAAAAATCAAAAGTCAAGTAGCTGACATGTTCTTATCTTCCTTTAATTCATGCTTCCTATATGGTCTAAATTCCATTTATTCTAACATGATAAAATCTTGAGATTTTAATTTTTTTTATGAACATATCTTAGTCTTTATAGTTGCAAGGTCATGAAATATTGAAGGTACAAAATCATGAGTTTGCATGACCTCCCCTGTTTTACTTCCTCTGTTTTTCCTTAAAAGGAATGAATTGATTCATGGCTTGTTTGTTAGAATTAATGAATAAATGGTATTTCCTTGAAAAAACTCTTATTTTTCTATGACAATAGATCATATATAAATAGTTTTTGGATCAAAGGATGGATCTTTTTTCTGGGTATATTTGGATTTTTCTCTCTCAGCTTGTGCAAACTCTGTTCTGGGTTTTCACCAGAATCTTCAAGAGGTATTTAAATTGAATTTTTCATCACTAGTTTAGATATTAGTCACTTACGTCATCTCTTTAACTTTTGTTTTCATGTTTATTGCAGATACTTCAGTCATGAAGCAATCCATTCAGCTTGTTCTTCAAATCTTTGCCAACAAAACTATCATAGTGGCCAAAACAATTCTGAGACAAAAACTGAGGCTAAAAATAATTCTAATTATTCTAAAGATGCAGAGTTGAAAAGTGAAAGATTTGACGAAGCTACTGATTCTATTCAATTTAAACGAGAGTTTTGTCATCAAAATGATTCAAATGGTTTGGAACCAGAAGCAAAGGCCAATGAGGATTGTTCAGAAACAGTTACAAACTATGCTGGAAATTTTGGCCTTGAAGAAGAGGAGACAATGAGGTTGGTTTTTAAATTCCAATACCAAACTTGGAACTGTAGTGAAACTTTTCATTTTTTGAACACTTGTTATGATAAGGCTTCTGGAAGCACCAACAAGTATGAGTTCATCTCAGGTAAGAGTTTCAGCACCTTCTCGGATGAACCATGTGTTCCTTCAAAATACTTCCCTTTGGAAAATGAATCTGAAAGAAACATTGAACCAGAAAGTTGTGAAAGAGGGTGTGTTGATGCAGAAGTGAGGCTCAAGACTGTGCCTTCCATAGAACAATCTGATGAACATCTAGTGGAGAATCTGAATACCAATGTGTTTGTTGAAGAAACTTCAGCTGATGACAATTTCCTTTCTGAAGATGACTCCATATGTGTTAGCTTTGAATTCGATTCCATCAGTTCTACTGGAGATGGATTTTTGTCAGACAAAGACTTTGGAACCTCTATGGAGTTTGACACTTCAAGAAACCATGATGAAGAAAATATAGTGTTAACAAAAGAAGATTTGGACTCTGAGTGTGAGAAAAAATCTGAGAGTTTTGATGTTGGAGATAGAGATATAATGGGTGGAAGACGAAAATTAGAAGACACTACTAGAATTCAGAATTCAGATATTGTGAACATGAAGTTGAAAGATCATTGTTTTCAATATAGGCACGGCATGAATTTGCATAGTTCAACAGGTTCCGATATTGAGGATTCCTACCGGTTTGATGCACAATGGGAACATCAAGATTTGATAGAACAGCTCAAGATGGAGCTGAACAAGATCAGAGCCACTGGTCTGCCTACCACCTTAGAGAATTCTGAGTCACAAAGAATAATGAAAGAATTGAAGCCATGGGAAATTGATGAAAAGTTTCAGTATGGTAGTACCATAAATGAGCTTCCAAAATTCCACAAGAGTTACCTAGAACGAATGCGAAAATTTGATATCTTGAATTACCAAAAGCTGTATGCCATAGGTTAGTAGTTCTAACCTTTTTGCTGTTTTCACTCAAATTTTTTTCTTTCTTTTTTCTTTCCTTTGATAAAGGATATTATGGTTAATTGATGAACAGTTTCATTCAGTTTTCTAGAAGAGTGCATTATGATACAATTTTCTTTTAGTTTTCAAAAACCATAATATATGGTATCATATGTAGAGGCTTTCACTTTCATATCAAAGAAATCTTAGCTCAATTGATTGAGCAAGGTGCGTGAGTTGTTGTAAGTTGTAACCTCTTTCCGTACAGAGTTTGATTCCTATGGGTTAAAAATATATAGGCTTTCATTTTTACTTTGTTGGCACAATATGGTGGATTATTTCAAAACACTTACATTGTGCTTAGTTTAGTGGTTAAGAATCCTATCACAATTTCGTTTTCTAAGTTTCATGACAATATTATATTTATAGGTTCCCTCAAGACCAAGGACCTTATGCTATCATTTTCAAGTCGTGAGAACTCTTTTCCAACTGTCACATCCTTTCTTCCACACATCTTTCACCATAGTAGACGTAAAAAATCTGAATCTGACCCATTGAAGAAGTTCATGAGAGAATTCTACAATGACTTGGAAATGGCTTATGTGGGACAGTTGTGCCTCTCTTGGGAATTCCTTCAATGGGAGTATGAGAAGGCCTTGGAGTTATGGGAATCTGACCAATACAGAATGAAAAGTTACAATGAAGTAGCAGAAGAGTTCCAACAATTTCAGGTGCTTCTGCTAAGATTTATAGAGAATGAACCTTTCCAAGGTCCACGAGTTGAATACTATGCCAGGAATCGTTGTGCTGTGCAAAATCTTCTTCAAATTCCAGTCATAAGAGGTTAAAACTTTCGATATCAACAAGAGAAATATTAGCAACGTATTCTTTATTACTCTTTTGATCATACTTTCTTTTATTGAGTAAATCTTATTTGAAATCACAATTCTGTTGGTTTCATGTTAGCAATAACTGGACCCAAACCCAAACAACAATTTAACAAATTCAGCAATGTGCTTACATTCTCATGAGCAAAGTGGACCGTTTCTATTATTGAATTGTGAATAAGGTTACACCATATCATGTCATATATATATATAGATAACAATGCAAGATCACAATATCACTGTGTAATTGCCTTGCTCCAGCATCTGTCTACCCATAAAATATAAGTTATGCACAACATCTCACTTTTTATTTAATAATCTCGATCATAATTTTGTAGTTTTGAATTAATTTTAGTCAATAATATACAATATGTTAGGAGTGTTGTACTAAACCTTCTTATGTAGTCAATACATAGATACTGTTCCTTCTATGTTTTTAATATTGTTTTCTAACAAAATTAGAGTTTCTTCTCAATAATCCGTACAATATTGGTTGACGTTTAAAGTTGACAAAATTTTAATTGAAAAACATCAAAAACACCTTAAGAAACAAGCCTAAGTTTTGTACTATTCAATATACTGCAAATTTGGGTACATCTACTTTTGAATGCAATTTAGTGGTTACTTTGATTAGCCTCACTTTTATAGTGTCCCTTTGAGCTATCTAGAGTAGGACCATATAAAAATCGATTTATATACTATAAATCATACAGTATCTCATGACAATAGAACCTCAATTGGCTACAGAGGACAGCACCAGTGATGAAGAGAAATTCAAAACAAGAGATGGAGAAAAAGATGATATCACAAGTGACATGCTAGTAGACACTTTGGAAGAATCAATCAGGATGATTTGTCGTTTCATTAGAGCTGATAAAGATGCATCTAGCTTGATCCATAAAGGTCCTAGAGAAACTCAAGTAAAGCTCCAAGATCCTGCAGATTCAGAATTCCTTATGGAGATTCAAGCAGAACTTCGAAAGGTAATTTAATTAAGGCTTCAAAAACAATTGCTTATCTGAAAAAGGTTTCATAATGTTTCTTCTTTTCTTAAACAATTTTATTTTCATGTTTGGATATGCAGAAGGAAAAGAGACTTAATGAATTCTTGAAGAGCAGAAGTAGCATACTGAAGAAGTTCCAAAAGCATGAGGAAGGTGGTAGAGATCATTTTCTTTACCTTTTCCCTCGAGGAGACATGAAATTGATTTGGAGAGTGTTGAACATGTCGAAAATAACAAGGGATCAACTAGCATGGTGTCGTAATAAACTAAATAATATCAACTTTGTAAACAGAAGGATACATATAGAACCATCTTTCTTACTTTTTCCTTGTCAATAATTATTTGCTAGTTTTTTTTTCTTTTTCTTTTTGTATATATGTTGCTTCACATATAGAAGGCCATTGTGCATGCAGACAAAGTTTTATTTAAGCATAATTTATGATGAATTAGAATCAGAATAAGGTATGATTCTTATGTAAATAAAGAAACCATCTTCATGTTTTGAGACAGTCTAATAAAATGCGTGTAGAGTTTTGTTTATAAGCAGCTTATTAAGTCAAATCCTTGGGTCTGTGAGCCTTGTTTATTATTTTTGTCATGAGAAATATATTTTATCTATTAAGCTAATTTTGGTGATCCAGTGTTTGGATATTTTTGTCATGAGAAATATACTTTAATGAATTAAAATTACTGATTAAATTAAACTTGTATAAATTAAGAAAGGAAAAGAGTTGGAAAATTTTGAAATAGTAGGTCGTCAAATTTTAATGTAAGGGAGTAATTGTTTAAGGGAAAAGAAATAGGGAATTAAAATAATAACATTTTTTAAAATAAAAAATGCATGTAAAATATAAAAATGAAAAATATGTTGTGATTAATGGAACCTTGGTAGTCTAATGAGCCGCGCATTAAAGTATAAGACTCAAATTCAATAACCGAGTCTAAATATAAATGTTGAACAAAGTTTATTTGGGTTTCAACTTAAATTCATTGAGTCCATTAAATAGTCTGATACAGTGAGCCCATTTTGTTGAATTTTTCACTACTGGAAATGTGGGAATATAAATAACTAAGGCTCTAGTATAGCAGGGGAAAAGAATACAAATAAAAATATATATTGAAAATAAAAATCACCTTACGACACCTTAGTTACCTGCAAAATTTTTCAACCATTTAGTAAACATTATTTACAAATTTATTTTTGCAAGAAAATCTGCAAGAAACAAAATAAGATTCTTACAATATTTTCTGCAAATTTTTACCATGGAAAAAATTTCTATGATCATTAAAATTGTAGCAAAATTTGCAACAATTTCTTGTAAATTATTTTTCATAAAAAAATTTGTAAGAAGTATCTGTAAATTATTTTTTGCAAATAAATTCGTAAAATTTTTTGTGAAATTATTATTGCAAGAAAATTCGCAAAATATTTCTACGATTACTTTTTTGCAAGAAAATTCGCAGGAAAATGAAACTTTTCTAGTAGTGTTTATATTATTGCTCTAATTTACTCGATGTTAAATCAACTTTCCATTATATCAATATTCTTATATAAATCACTAGAATAGAAATTATTAATATCACAAATTTCAAAAGATGACACTAAATTACTACAACCAAATTTAATCCGCTTCTCAAAAATTGTGATAAAAAATTATCACCACTTAATCCATATACATGCAAACACTCCATCATCCCGAGATTGTTAAAAGTAAAGAAACTTGTAACTCTATTAACTCTACGCGGTGACTAGAAAATTGGCTTCTTTGCTTAATAACAATATTTATATCTCATAAGGTTAATTAAGAGTTTAGCGTGTGTAGTATATCTAATTATCCACATATTTACCATATTATATATTTTCTATACGTGTTATATCTGCTTTATCAATGGCTCTTCGAATGATCAAACACTGTTTTAATTTTAATTTTTCACGTCCCCTCATGCACAAGATCATCTCTGAATTCATGATTAGGCCCTGTTACGTAATACGTGAATTTGTTTGCACAGAAAGTTAACAAACAAAATGTCACATTTCACTTCTCAAATTCATTCTTGCACACCACATTCCTCCACTAATATCCTCTCATGGTGATGTGAATTCATGTGCTAATAGTACTCCTTATCCAAAATAGTGAAAAATAAATTCTATTTTATTTTTATCATTAAGTATTCTATTTTCTTTTAGTTTACACTTATCACATTAAGGTTTTGAATTTATATGGTTATTGACTTCTTTTATATTATTCTATTTCTCTTTATCACTATTATACAGTGATTTAGGTATATGTTTGAATACCAATTTAAAATCGTATTCAACAAAAAAAAATATATACAAATAGGACTAGTTCAAAGGCTAAACATTAAGCAAACAAAGTATTCACTTTAAGTCTCCTTCAAAAAATTAAAATTAATATTATATATTTTTTCAAGATTTTATAACTTAAAAATCATTTTTTACATTTTTAAAAATTCACTTCAAAATGTTTATTTTTAAAATATATACAAATATAATTACTTTTTTCAAGATCCATCTCTAAAATATTTTTATATTTTTATCAAAATATATTAATATTAGTTTTAAAAAAATTTAAGATTTATTTTAAGGTTAATAATTAATATGTTGAGTCGGTCCTAATTACACGTTCCAATGTATAAAAGGAAAAAAATTATGAGTAACTTTTTTTTAATTCCAGTTAAGTTCAACCGATTAGCAAACATACTCCAAATGTTTTATTATATAAGCCAAAGTTAAAGTCTATATTCTCTTAACATAAATCTTCTTATTATGCTTTGTTTTAACTTTGAGCCTTTTCACCTATACTCCAAATTAGGAAGAAGATTCCAAGAACCTCTTTTTTCCGATTTTTAGATACTTAATTTATGCTTTTCTTGTCTTTTCTTTTCTCCTCTCAATCTTTCTATTTAAATATTTATGTTTGATACTAAAGTTGGAACAAGGTAAAAAAAAAAAAAAAACCAAAACCACTAAGGACTTGGTAGTTAGAGAATCTAGTAGTTTACATTGAGTTTTAGATTTAGACCTCATCAACACCATTAAGGAAGAACGAAGCAAAATAAAGAAGGAAAAAAATAGATAAATAAACCATTAAACCAAAAGATTAAAAATATATATAAAAAAATTAAAATAAAAAACTATACGTGGATATATGAAACTATATTTACATGAAACATATAGGCAAATAACTAAACAAACCTCATCAAAACTACAACTTAACTCCCCACTTCAAAATGGATCATTCCTAAGATTTTTTCAAATGACAAAATCACATGAACAAAAAAAGATAGACACGTGGACTCCTTAAAATCTTTTGTATCTAGTTTTTTTTTCCTCGCATGACCCTGTCACATCAAAAACTATCATGAGAAGATCTATTTAATTTCCCAGCACATGGTTTATAAAACTTGTGTCTATGCTTCCAGGAGGTAGTTACATTCAGGTACATATGAATATGAACAGGGAAACAGGGAAACAATGATAATATAATACTTGTACATTTACAAGTAAAATCAGTACCTAATGGTATTGATTTTGTTGGTAAATATACTAATTTTTGTAATAAATGTAACTATTTTGTCTCACTATGTGTAGCATTTATTAGTGGAAAAGGTAGTGGACATGTCACTGGGGCAAGGAGGTGAATCCCATGGCACAGAAGAAGCCTTCCAAGCATCATATGGAGGCAAACTGAAGGGAAATCCAGTGTTTCTTACAACAGTTTCCCACTCTTGTTCTTTAGTTTCTGTGCTCAAGTTTTGTTGCATATCTTGGGGTAGTAGACTGATTGAGAAGCCACTATAGTGTTGGTTTGGCTCTTCAAATGCTATGTAGTCAGGGTTGTTGGGAGAAAGCATGGAAGAAGTAGCATTATCAAGTGTGGACTTGGTGGGTCCTGTGCAGAATATGAAGTTGTCAGAAAGGTCTCCATCTGGAACAGGAACTTGTGATGGCTTGGAAACTGTGCTGTTGATGGGTTTGTAAGTGGGACTAATGTCTGAGGCTGAGAAGTTGGTGTTGGTGCCATTGGAGACTTGGTGTAACTCTTGCTTGTCACCACAAAATTGAATGGCTGGTGATCCTAGCTGGGGAAAGTTTGCACCATGTGAGAACATGTCAGGTACCATGCTTCCAGGTAACTGAGAGATCCAAGGGTGAGATAAGGCTTTCTGTGCCATGGAGAGGGAGTTGGTTTTCTTGAATATCCTACAGATTGCCCATGAGTCCTGAAAATCCACAAAGCACTACATGAATAATCAAAATTGGAATACATATAACCTATTTATCTATATATCTAAGGTAAAGCTATGTTTGTCTAATTTTCTATCTATCTACTTTTCTATTTATCTATTATGTTTGTTAATTAACTCTTTTCATATTTTCACACTCTCTCCTATATACAATTAGGTGAGAGAATGTGAAAGGATAAGAAAAATTATCTCAATAGTTCATTCATCATTGATAGTAAAGATTAGTTTAATTTGAGAGTTTAATTTTTATACACTATCAATGTAAAAAGAATATTATTTTTGATCAAAATTCATCATCAATATAACTTTTAAAGTAATTATTATAAAGTAAGTAACTTGCTAATATAGTGATATGTGATCTGTGATTGGATAAAAATATCAATACATGCACTATTTAGTATTTAGTCTTAACTTGGATGAATGTTATCAACATACACTAAGATATTTCTTATTAATACATTTTTTACTATCAATTGAAAATCACAAATTTTAATAAATTCTACTATTAAATAAGGAAAGACTTTTAATAAATTCTACTCTTAAATAAGGAAAGACTCTTTAAATGCAGTGTCAGACTTAACAAATTTTGTAATTTTGGATAAATTTTGATCAATAATAGTGTTGAAAAGAGTGATTTTGACCATGCATGTAATAAATGGCCAAGACTAGTCCCTCTAACCTCTCATGTTATCACTTGAAATGTCCTACAGTAAACACATATGTATGTAGAAGGAATTGGTGCAATACATACACTTGGAGGGAGGCTTTTGTCAGAAAGGTTTTTGGGAGGGGCTGAGTCTGAGATGCAAGGAAGCCTAAACTCATGCATCATCCAGTCAGTTTTCATTCCTTTGGCAGCTCTGCCTCTGTAAAACACAAGAGACTTCTTCAGACCAATGCACTTTCCTTCAGAGGAATATATAGGCCTGTCAGTTCCAGTGGCCTTCCAAAACCCTGCTCTTGTCACTCTATTTGGACGTGCACTGTTCCTGTACTTTCTGTCCCTTGGACAGTAGAAATACCACTCTTTTTCCCCAGTACCTGCCAGCTCTTCTCGTTCATAAAAACAAAATTTGAAACCAAGTTAGAATCAGAAAAAAGAATTGTCAAGTTTTGTACAGTTTGAACCTTTGATGCTATTGCTCACTCTAGTAAAAGAAAATGGTAAATTGTTAAGTTCTCACTAACTTTTGTCAAAATTAGTTTTAGTTTCTCTATTTAAAAAATGAAGGTTTTGATCCTTGTATTCTTAAATTGTGATAGATTTTATCAGGGTCTAACTCAGTTGAATAGTGTGAGTTATAAAAAAAAAATTCTGATAGGTTTTGTCTCTGATCCTATACTTCAATTTTGACTTGGCCTGAGACAAAATCTAACACATCTCAGAAATACAAGGATTAACACTGCCCTTTTTAAAATGTAGGAACTAAAATAAAAGTGGAAACCTGGTTGCAAAATTAGTCTGACCCTATATGTAAGATTTGACTATGTGGCATAAAGCAAAACAGCAAAAGAAGAGAAAGGTAGAAAAAAAAATGAGTATGAATCAGAAGAGTTCTTACTTGGAAGGTCCCATGGATCATATTTGTAAATATCCACTTGCTTGATCAGTTCAATAGGAAGAGACTTCTGCTGAATTTTTCTCTTGAGATAAAAATCAACAAGCTCTTCATCAGTTGGGTGAAAACGAAAGCCTGGCATCACATCCTCAATCTTTTCCATCTCATTCCTCTCCTCCATGTTCTCTCTCTCTCTGAATTTCTTGTCCAAGAACCAAATGCAAATATATAGAGAGAGGCTTCTCAAGATGTCAACACTTGTTCCAATATCTCTAAGAAGCTTCAACCTAGTAAGTGACAATTACAATATAAGATACTATTATAATACCCATCATGGCTATCATATCTGCACACATGGAAACACAATCATGTTGATGTTGTAGTTTGCAAATTTTGGAAAACAAAACAAAATCCATTATTAATGTGCTGTTCTCAAATATGAGTAATAAAAAGTTTCAAGTTATGCTAACTCACAGTGTGTGCAAATTTGCTTAGTCCAAGGCCATGTTGTGTGCTCTCTCAAGAAGGTTTCTGTTCCCAAAGCTTCTGCCTCCGTTTTAGGATGTCTCTAATGAGAGAGAGTGTAAAACTTGGATGAAAATCAAGATGAGTTTGGTGTTGAGAAGTGGTTGTCTTTGTGAGATATTTAAGCTCCTTATGATGAAACACATGCCAAGGAAAGATGTCACAAAGTCAAGAAAAGTAAAACCCCTTTCAAGTTTGCAATGGATCTTTCTTACTTCTCACTTGGCCTAATATACTTGTGTGAATGGCCAAAGATTAAGGATCAGAAGAGACTGCAGAATTAGATGCATTATGGGGTGTTTTTATATTGTGAATGTGTGATTGTTTCACTTTCATCGATGATGCTCACAAACATTTCCTTTTATCTTCAACAAATCAAAGACAAGCACAATATGACAAGGCAAGCTTCTAACGTGATTATTCTTTTCATTTCTACAGATAAGTAATTCTATTTGGAATTGTTCTTGTGTGAAAATATAATAATACTATTGATGTTGCTTTCAATTCTCTGCCTAATTCTTCTTAGGGACAAATTTTGTCATTTTTGTGCTAATTCTTGGATTGCAACATTCCCTTTTCTATATACCAAACTTTTCATCTTGTTCCGTCATAAATATGAACAAGTGACCTGTCATCAATCTAGGTAATTTAAAAAACATTACTCTTGAAAATAATTCATCCAATTGGATACACTTGTACACTCTTGATAGAGAGGGCGTTCCCATTTAACCTGCTTGGAAACACAGTTTGAGTAAACAACTAGTTGACCTTGGAATGGTAATGGATAAAAGATATTTAAAAGCACAAAATAAATTAACAAATACTTATTATTACTTTGAGAATACATGCCCAAGTCAAGAAAGTCCAACTAAGTTTGATCAATAAAGGATAAAATTTTACTTATGCATTATGCACATTAACTCAAGAATACTTATGCACATTAACTCATAGCTCAATAAAATTTTACTCAAGAGAACCAAAGCTAAATGTGTGTGATGATTGTGTATTGTTTTGGAGATTGGATTCAGACATAACAGAAACACTCTATTTTCTACATTTATGCTCACCGTGATAATTTGTCACAATGTGGCCATCCTCATCCCAAACTACTCCAGAACCATTTCCTTCAGGAATCTGCAAGCATAGATACAAAAAGTAAATTACATTGTTTGATATTTTACTCACATATAGGACAATAAAAAATTCGTCATACTAATAAGCTAGACACAATATAATAATTAAAAAATAAGTAGTCCTTGATACACCTTAAAATGATTTAACATCAGATATTATAGTTTAAGTACCAAGTTACCTCAACCACACCAGTTACATTAAGCTGAGGACGTAATGTCACATCGAATATGTTAACAACAGAGTATGTGTTCCTTTCAAATAGTTGGACAATTCGATCCTGCCAATAACAACAAATTAGAATTAAATACTGCTAGATAAGGGTTTAAAAAAATGTGCCATACAATCACAACAGACAAAAGAGGGGCTATAGTTGAAAGTTGACCTCTATGGGAAACAGTGGCCCAGGAGAAAACACAGGAGGGGTTACTTCTTCAAGTGTCACTGATGGATCTCCCAATGCTAGGGCTGTACATTTATAATTTATTGCAAGATGATAAACTTTGCTAGCAAATACTAATACACACTAGAATAAAAGAATACATGTTTATCATCAAAGAACATAGAAAATTAGAACACTACTGCTAGAATTCTATTACTGCACTCCACCAATTTCATATTTACAATTGGTGTCATATTACAAGTTAAAACTAAGAACTCAAACTCACCATTGGCTACTCATGGCTCCATATAACAAACACTAATAATCAGGGTCAAATACACCAAACTTAAGGTAATCCACCTCGTCAGTATTTACAAAACAAAAAACACATTTTTTACCTATACCCGCAAATGATTCAAGCAGCTAAATATATTTAGTCCATGTAAAATCTTGATTTGTTAGTTTTAGGCTAAATTTTTTTCGTTGGCTTTAACTCTCATTAATTTAAATTTTTATTTGATCTCTATCACCATTTAGTGATGATGCAGCCTGACTCTACATTCTGTATCAGGGATCATTCTTCTGAGATGACGTGAATTGGCATATCTAGATACATATCAAGCCAATAGTAAATGCAACATGAACCATTTTCAAATCATCTGAAATTTATAAAAACTAAATCCATCAAAAATAAATTTTGGAGCACTAAAACCAAAAAAAAAAATTGTAATTTAGAGACTAAAACATCTTAACCCCCCCCCCCCCACAAAAAAAATACAAATTAACAAGTGCATAAAGCAGAGCACAGCAAGTACATTAGGCAAGCAGCAAAATGAGGCCAAAATTTTCAAAGAATGGAGACAAAGGGGAGAAAAACCAAAAGATATTTAAAAGCACAAAATAAATTAACAAATACTTATTATTACTTTGAGAATACATGCCCAAGTCAAGAAAGTCCAACTAAGTTTGATCAATAAAGGATAAAATTTTACTTATGCATTATGCACATTAACTCAAGAATACTTATGCACATCCTACGAAATCCTAAACCAATACACCCCCCTTAGTGTTAGAGCAATCTTATTTACTATGGCATTCAAAGATATTGGAGTGATAACGATATTCTCTTGTATACTTTTCTTGCACTTCTTAATTTTTAGCCAAAAATTTATTAAAAATATAAAATTTAATAAATCTTACACTTTATTTAATGAGTCTGTCTTAATTTAGTGATGGTAATATTCTTATCATTATTTGTCTTAAAATTAGATAGGATTTATTTTAAATTGTTTGTTGTAAAATTGGATGGATTTTATTTTAAATTGCTAAACTTTATTGGAGGCCAAATTAATCTTAATCATAAATCTTACTCTAGAATGTGTCTTTGAAGAAGGAATTAATATCGGTGTGTAGTCCACCAACACTTTTACCTGTGAAAAATAAATTTTAGTATCTATGCTCAATCCTATCATATATCTAAGTATCAACAAAAGCAATTCATTACCGAGGATTATCACTGGTTTAAAAGGCAGAAGAATGGGTTTGATGGAGGCTACGAATTGACTTTGGCAACTTAACTTGATTATAAATAAGTTATTAATAGTCTCAAATCATCTCATCAAAATTGTAAATAATTTGGATTTGTAGTTAGTCCACGTAAAATAAAAATAAAAAAACTTAAGCCATTTACAAAATTGTGTAATTGATTTCATCAAGAGATAGGTTAATCTTCATTGAGAGATAAGTTAATCGTGTTTTTCATAATATTTATATTGCAAAATTATTTAGTTTATGTGCTAGTCACCATATTTTTCATTTGATTCTTATGTGTATTGAAACTTTTTTTATTAATGAAATGATAAGAGTTTTTTTTATTAAAAAAAAAACTTGGATCTATATTATGTAGAATTTAATTAAATGAAATATTTGAATGTCTACTTTTTTATAAATTAATAAAAATATTATTTATATATTATAATGAAATATAAAAATTAACGATAACAAAATATTAAATAAAAAAGAAAATGAGTGATCCACTGATAATATAAAGTAATTTTACACTTTTATTCAATCACATATCATTAATTATTGTTGAATTTTACAATAAATAAATCATACTAACAGTGATATTTATTTAATTGATAATGTAAAATTATTTTAAACTATCATACCATTAATCACTAAATAAAATTATAACACCAAACTCAATTAAAAAAGTCTAAACATCTTTTAAATTCAAACTATAAAACATGATAAATATTCTATTATATAATTTTATTTATTATATAAGTATGGGTGTGAGACAAGTTAAGTAATATAGTATATTAGCAACCAATTATCCTCTTAACTTTGTGATTTTTCGATATCTTCTCAATTTATCAAAATGCTAATATTAGAACATGACATAAAAAGGATGTAATATATCAGTAGTCAAACCTGTAGTTTATATATATAAAGTTACAACTTACAAGCCATTACTTATTCCTAGACTAAGACTTATTATGGGTATTATGGGTAACTTTTATAGGTATTCATTTGTTCTTAATTCAATTATCATTCTTAACTAACCTTAAATATCTTTTACTTTGTTCAAGCTAGATAGAATTAATATTTCCTAATTAATTAATCCTCTAAAATTAGGCAACTACTCTAACAATAATTGTGTATATTCTGAAAAAAAAATTGTGTATGTTAAACGTTATTTAGTTCTCTCTTTTCTTTTTTTTTATAACTTTTAGCAAGATTCTTGTTGTTGTTATTTCTGATAATTCCAAACGAATTGTACAGAGAAGTTAACGACATGCTCAAATCACATGGCATAAACTTGCTAACCATGTCCATTATGGGAAGGAGACTCTACTAAGTTCGAAAAAATCAGTGAGTGAGACTACAAAATCCAAACATTGTGAATTTACCAGCCTCGTTTGAAGCCCTTGTTGTCTGTTTCGTGTGCCTTAGGGTTTACAACCCATGTTCCAAAACTGGTCAAACCCCACCAACCTAAATCTCTTTGTCTCATATCATCACTCCCTAAATTATTATGACTCAAATTAAAGATTCAAAGCCAACGTTGGATTGTGTCTTGTTTGGTTTCATTAACGATGTCTGTCACCTACTATTTTTTATTAGATAAATTATGGAATTCAAAATAAAAAGTATTATTATAATTAATAATAAATCATATTTTTAATCTTTTATTTTATTAAAAATATAAAGCACTTAATTGAATTTATTTAAAAATATAAAGAACCAAATTATTAAACTTAAATACGATCATATGTATTAACTCAAATTCAATCCATACACCAAACCAAATACAACCGCTTACAAGAACAACCAAGAAGGAAGTCAAACTAACAAAGAAGTGAAAATTTCAATCTTTTATTTTTTTGGACAACGTTTAGTTAGTTATTAAAATGTAAAAGTCTTTGTCCAATTTTTGTATACACATATTTTAATTACTCATTAGGATATGTGATTTTTTGGGACTAATTTGAGCTAGCTTTTTTTTTTTAGTGATTTTAAACAAATGAAACTTCATATTTGTAATGTTGTTGTTGCCATGTAAGATTTCAATTTTATAAATTTATCATGTAAATACACTTATTTTCATACTCATAATTGATTCAAAGTTCAAAGTTATATTATTATGTTGAAATACATTATAAATTATTATTAAGTTATTTTAATTTTAGTATCACTTTATAAAATTGTATTAATATACAATTATATCTTCGTCTTTTATCTTTTCAAAAGTGTTTGATTTGATCTTTTATATTTTTAAATAGGTTCAATTTAAATTTTCGTTATATCAACAACTATGCTAAAAAATTTAACATTGATTATTAGAGAAAAAAAAAAGAATCATTTTAAGTCACTTTATAAATATAAGGGACTCTATTAAATTTTTTAAAAAAATAAAAGATCAAACAAAATCTAAAAAATAAAATAGAAAACTAAAAATGTAATTTAACTTTATAATTAAATTAAACTTCTATCGTGATGCTAAAAGTAACACGTCATGCATAAAAAAATATTTTTTGTTCTAAATAAGAAATAAAGGGGTGGGCCTTCCCCAAATAATGTAACATAAAAAATTTATAAAAAAAAAAAATTAAAATGAGGCTTTTGAGCTTCAATATTTTTTTATATAATTCATGTAATATTTTAAAATTAATAATTAAAAATTAATCTGCTCTTATAAGACATGATTTTTGTTAAGTAAACATTATCATTTTAACACGTACAAAAATCAAATCTAAAAATGTCAAATTTACTCTTTATATTTTAGAATACACCTTACAACCACTTAAAAAAAAAAAAAAAAACTTGATTTTAGCTTCTGTATAGCTTTTCGCACTTAGATATTTAGTTGATTAAATTTATTTAGAGAAATTTTCATGGATTTTCATATTTGAAAGTGATATTGAAGCTGCAGCATAATTTGTAAATAATAATATTATGATTCTGATACTGTTTGCTTAATTGATAAGTTACTGCCGCAAGTTCAACCCTTATCCGTTCGTTACAAAGAAGAATCGCTGTAAAGCAAATTTGACAGCTCCATGAACCAGTGCACACGCTAACATTAATTAATTACTGCATAAAAATAAAATTAAGTTTCAGTTTAATTTCCATTCAAATAGTTTTTTACCAACAAATTATCGATACAAGTGCTACTTAACTCAATTTTTTTAAGTAAACTTTTGTATTTGAGTTTTATATATAAAAAAATATATAATTGTAAAGAAAAATCTTACTAAAAATAGTCAATTAAATTCAGATTTTTTACAAATATTAGCCATCAATAAAGTTAATAAATATTTTGTATCAATAATATAATTATTCAAAATAAATTAGTCTTTTAAACACTAATATCATCATAAATTAATATTTTATTGTTATATTATTTAATGTTAGGTCATAATTAATATTTTAATTTATTAATTAAAAGATTAACATCAAACAGTTGAATAAAATTGTGAATTTTATGATGTTAAAAGATTAAAAATTAGAGAATTAAAATCGTAGAATATTAAAATAAATTAAAAATACTATTTAACATAATAATTATTATCATCATATAACTATGCAAGAAATCAAGTGAAAATATACATAATCAATCAAATGATTTTTTAAGAAAAATAGATATTAAAAATCAATAATAAAATAAGTAATTAGGAATAGTTAATATTGTGATAAAATAATCCTAATTAATAAAGAAATTAATTTTATCATTGAAATTTATTGTTATTTAAGTCAGAAATTAATCTTGCCAATAAAGAAAAATTCATTAAGAAAGAAGATAAAGGATACAAGGGGTGTCCATCCCTTACATGAACCGGAACATAAACTATGCTAATTACCATACATGACCCTTCCCAACCTTCATATAAAATAAACCATTGCAACACTATTTCAAGTGAAACAGAACATTCCAATAAAAATAACCCTCGACTATTAATGTAAATAACAAAATAAATCTATATATGTTTTAGGTGTCTTTGCATGTTGATTTCTTCTATACCCTTATTGTATAACAATTGTTTACACCTTATCTTGGCTACACAGATAAATACGCACTTGGCACTCCACTGCTCAAATGAATAATTAAAAAAGCCTTTGTTTAAATTAAGCCACAATTATGAAAATAATTTGATGTCTTGCTTCA